CCCCCCCCCCCTCCCCCCGCAGCTCTGCGGACATGACTGCCCGAGCCTGCGCGTCCAAGGGTCTACCTTCGTCCCCACCGTCTCCTGGCCGAGGACTCGGTCCCTCGAGGGCTCTCACCGTTCGCATCCGCCGGCATGGGGTCGTGCTTCTGTTCGGGGGAGGGGGGCGTCCCCGGTTATGGCCGACCCAGGTACGCCCGGAATAACGAGGATATTGGCTGGCAGCGGGCTCTCGTCGGTCGGCCGCGCGGTCGCCCCCGCCCCCTTTCCTCGCACTTGTCGGGGCCCGCACCCTGGGCCGGGTTTCCATTACGCAATCTAATCGCTTTCCATCGCCCCCAGAGTGGCCCCCAGCACCCGGACCAGCCGGAGCCGCGAGGATAGTGTGTCTCATGTCGAGAGGGTGCCACCGCGCTCGAGCATGTGTGTGTGTGTGTGTGTGTGTGTGTGTGTGTGTGTGTGTGCGTGCGCGTATGTCGGGGGGCAGTAGCAGGAACTACATGATACACACACACGCACACGGACTCGGAGGGGGGCACCCGGGTGCGGCCCGGTTTGTTCGACGCCGAGCGCGCCACCCCGCGCCACTCCGGGCCGTACCCTGCCAGGCTGATCGCGCGACCTGCCGGCCCCCCGCTCCCCCCCCCCCCCGGGGTGGTGGTGGTGCTCCGCGCTTCCCCCAACACCCGCCCCTGGGCCCCTGCTCCCGCTGCTGGGCGAGAGGCGGCACAAGGGCGCTGCAAGCCCCCAGCCTGCGGGGCCGATTTGCCGCCGGGAAAGTGGCGTGCAGCCGGGGGAGGAGCGGGGAGATCGCGGGGCTCGCCGCGTCCTGACCTCCCTGTCCTGTGTTTTGGAGAGAGAGAGAGAGAGAGAGAAACGAGGGAGGGGAGGGGGGGGGGGGGAGGTCTCAGTGGCTGTGAGCTACAAATAACACCCCTCCGGCAGACGGAAGCCCCTCTCTCCCGACACTCGCACCAGGCCCCTCTCCCCCATCCCTGCCTGCCCTCCTGCTCCTCTCCCCCCTCGCCGTCTGATTAGGCCGCAGCCTGTACGACCTGCCCCCGCCTCCCACTGCCCTGTCTCTGCCTCGCCTCTGCCACTCTGTTCGCGCGCATGCACACACACACACACACACACGCACATACACATCTCTGCACATGCGTATATTGACTCGCGACCTCCTCCTCTTTCAGAACGTCATCCGTCGGATCAAGGCTGGTCCTCTCCGACTCCTCCCCCCCTCTCTTCGCCATTTATTGTCGCCGCTCTGTATGTTCCCCCTCGCCCCATAACATGCTGTTCTTGCTCGCACACGCACGCACGCACGCACGCACGCACGCACGCACGCACGCACGCACGCACGCACACATGTACAGACCGAGCCCGACACTCACCGATATGCGTGTTCCTGCCAGACCGTGGCCACTCTCCCTCCCACTCCTCCCTTCTTGTGCTTCCCCACATTAAGCCCCCCCGCCCTGCATCATGACTGCAGACCCCTCTGGGAGCAGCCCGCCATCCTCGGATGGGGGCCTCTCACCGGTCAGTAGCCCGGCTACTGACTCCGGCGTTTCCTCGCCGGACATCCCCCTGGCCGACCGGGCCCCGGAGGCCGGGCCCGCCCTTGACCCGGACATTCCGCTGGCCGACATGCCCCCCTCGGAGGAGGCGTCCAGCAATGGCGATGCCGACGACGAGGAGGCTCTCGATGATGCCGACCCCAAGTCCAAGAAGGGCAAGAAGAAGGGCAAGAAGAAGGGCAAGAAGGCCGACGACAAGGCCACCGAGGAGGAGCTCTACACCGCCGACGGCAAGCGCGACTTCTCCAAGGGCCCGAAGGTGTCCATGACGCAGCTCTTCCGCTACGCCGGCAAGGTGGACGTGACCCTGATTCTGGTGGGCAGCCTGGCGGCCATCGGCCATGGTGTCCTGCAGCCGCTCTTCTCCGTCATCATGGGTGACATCATCAATGCCTTCGGCAACCCGGCCACCGATCTCATGTCGGCCATCAACAAGAGTGCCATTTGGTTTGTGGTGTTCGGCTTCATCGGCCTGGGCACGTCCTACCTGCAGGCCATGACCTACCTGTTCACGTCCCACCGGCAGGCCAATCGCATTCGCCGGCTCTACTTCGATGCCATGATGCGCCAGGAGATCGGCTGGTTCGACACCCAGAAGCAGGGGTCCGTCACGTCGCGCATTTCCTCCGACGTCTTCCTCATCCAGGAGGCCGTGTCCGACAAGTTTGCCCTCATCATCCAGAACATGGCCATGTTCATCGCCGGCTTTGTGGTGGCCTTCATCTACTCCTGGAAGATGACCCTGGTCATTGCGGCGCTGACGCCGCTCATCATGCTGGCCGGCGGCATTTTCGGCAAGTCCATCGAGTCCTTTGCCTCCGAGGGCCAGAAGGCCTACTCCGTGGCCGGGTCCGTGGCCGAGGAGGTCATCAGCTCCATCCGCACGGTGGCCGCCTTCGGCGGGGAGAATCGCGAAATTGGCCGCTACGCGCGTGCCCTCATCCCGGCCCTGCGCAATGGCGAGAAGAAGGGCCACGCCACCGGTATCGGCATTGGGTTCATCTTCTTCGTCATCTACTGCTCGTATGGCATTGCCTTCTGGTATGGCTCGACGCAGATCAACGCCGGCAACATGAATGCCGGTGATGTGATTGTCGTCTTCTTCTCCATCATGATGGGCTCCATGTCCATCGGTACCGCGGCCCCGAGCTTCTCCAGTCTGGCCCAGGGCCTGGGCGCGGCGTATGAAATTTACAATGTCATCGACCGCGTGCCGGACATCGACAACCTCAGCGACGAGGGCATCAAGCCCGACGGCGTTGTCGGCAACATCGAGTTCCGGGACATCCACTTCACGTATCCCTCGCGTCCGGATAGCAAGATTCTCAATGGCCTGAATCTGTCGGTCAAGGCCGGCACCACGGTGGCCCTGGTTGGCCACTCGGGCTGCGGCAAGTCCACCACCATCGCCCTGCTGGAGCGCTTCTACGACCCGGCCTCCGGCACGGTGACCCTGGATGGCAACAACCTGAAGGACCTGTCCATCCGCTGGCTGCGGTCCAGTGTGGCCCTCGTGTCGCAGGAGCCGGTCCTCTTCTCCACCACGATCAGCGAGAACATCCGGTATGGCAAGCTCGATGCCACCCAGGAGGAGATCGAGGCCGCCTGCCGGATGGCCAACGCCCACGACTTCATCAGCAAGCTCCCGCTCAAGTACGAGACCCCGGTCGGCGAGCGGGGCGGCCAGCTGTCCGGCGGCCAGAAGCAGCGC